CGATAAAGTGACGACTCGGGCAACTGCTCTGTATCGAGTCAGTTGTTTGTCCTTGCTGTCGTGCTCTGTTTGTCAAGTCAGAGGTCGCTGACCTTTGACCCTCGCTTAACCTCCAGCGGTTACTTCACTTGTCAACCTCCGATCTTTGACTCGTCGATGCTTCGTTTGTGCTTCGCTTCGTTTACGACTTAGTGTTTCGACACAGTAGAAGCGCTTAAATCACTTGTTTCCAACACCTACAAAGCTGTTACACAGGGCCCACGGTATCAGGGCAAAACATCCTGATTGCCCTGATTTCATGATGGTGTTTCAAATTTTCCCTGGAATTTCAGAATGGCGCAGAAATTTACCCTGGGATGTCAGGATGATTCATTTGTTTTGCCCTGAAATTTCAGAATGGCAGTGAAATCTTGCCCTGAAGTGTTAGGGTGAATGTAGGGGGATGCCCTGACTCGTGGGAAGGGGAGAAGGGATGGAGGGGGGACAAGGGGAGAGGGGAGGAAGGAGGCTAGGGGGTGTGTGTGCTAGTTTTGTCCCCACCCCTCCCCCACCAATATTTTTGCTCAGCCAGTAGAACTGAAACCATTGAACAACCTGCTCCTTTCGTGCCATCCCCTCCATCCACTCTAGTTCAGAAAGTTAGAACGAGAATGAAATGACTAAGTGAAAGTTGGGTACAAATACAACCCTAGAAAGCTGTACCCCATATGTGCTACCCCACTATAGCCTACAACAGCTATGTCATACAAATCTGACACACCCCCATAGGCAAAGTGGGGGAGAACAAGGGGTCACAAGACGAGTCAAGCAAAGCAAAACAAAGCTCAGGGAGGATCACAAAGTCACCACACATTCCGAGCACAAGTTCAAGGCCAGCATGGCCTTGTTGTCTACGTACAGCACTGGAGGAGAACGAGGCGGCTCTCCGAGGTCAGTCAGCAGGTAGGTGAGCCAGCGTAGCTCCTGAGCAGCCATGGCTTCGGCGTAGATCTCAGCCTCACAACTAGAGCCGAGAACAGAAGACCAGCGAGTAGCCCGCCACGAAACAGAGCCGGAACCAAGGCTGAAGGTGTAACCTTGTGACGACCGCTGTGTAGCCTGGTCGTCAGCCCAAGAAGCGTCTGCGTGCTCAGTGAGGACCACTGGACTCTGACCTCCAAGCAACAGCCCCATGCCCGATGTACTGCACAAGTAGCGCAACACCCTCTTCGCTGCAGCCATGTGCTCCGGTCTGTGTCTCCCAGGAGCAACATAGCGTGCGAGGAGGCTAAGAGGGTATGGAAGGTCAGGTCGTGTGCAGGTCATCAGGTACATGAGGCAGCCAACAAGCTCTAAGTACAGGCCACTCGACTCTACGGACTCATCCGAAGGCAGAGCTGAGGGCGAGTGGCGAGTAGACAGAGGAGTGGCTTGAGGTGAGGAGTACGTGAAGTCGAAGCGCTGAAGGACCTGCTGCACCATGTGTGACTGAGTCGGGGTAATGGTGCGCTGTGCTCTGTCCCGGGTGATCTGCAAGCCAAGGTAGCTGCGCAGTTCACCCAGGTCTGTGCACGTGTGTCTCTTCTGCAGCTCGGACTTCACGTGGGCGAGTCCAGCAGTGGCAAAGACCAAGTCGTCGACGTACACAAGGATGTAGAACGGCGGCAAAGAGGTGTCGGTGCGTAGAAACAGCGACGGGTCAGCAGTAGAGGGAGCAAACCAAGAGCCGCAAGCGTAGTCCTCAGTGTGTCGTGCCACTCACGCGGTGCCTGGCGGAGACCGTAGACTGGCCGTCGGAGGCTCCACTGGGTGCCAGGAGGAAAAGTCCCAGCGAAGCCAGGTGGACGGCGCAGCCAGATCTCCTCGTGCAGGCTATCCTGCAGGAAAGCACTGCTGAAGTCAAGAGAGTGAAGCTCGTAGTCACGCTGAGCGGCTATGTGCAGCAGCACCCGAAGAGTGGTCATCTTCGGGGTGGGAGAGAAGGTCTGAAAGTAGTCAACTCCCTGCCGGTGACTGAAGCCACGAGCCACATACCACGCCTTGAAGACACGTGGAGAACCTGGCGGCCGCTTCACCCTGAAGATCCACATGCCACTGACGATGTTCGCCCCAGGTGGGGGAACCGCGTCAACGTAGGTGCCTGTGGACTTCCAGGAAGCCATCTCTGCATCCATAGCTGCCTGCCACTGAGAGGAGTAGGGACCCTCTACGGCCTCCGCGTAAGAGCGCGGAGTCGGGATGTCAAGTGCATCCGGGTCTCCCTCAGGGGTAAGCAGTACGGACACGAGATGAGGTGAAGCAGCACCCAAACACTGGAACTCCTCCTGCCTGTCCTCAAGGACGTCCGTGCCAAGAGCACACTCACCCTCGACGGACGGAGGACAGAAAGACGCTGACTCAGCAACAAGACTAGCAGCGTAGTCTAGACGACAGCGAGCAGCAAAGTCGACGAGCTCAGCAACAAGAGCAGACGCAGCAGTGGACTCAAAGGAGGGGTCAGTGACGACAGTAGCAAGGAGAGAAGTGTGACAGTAGGACTGGCAGCACGAAGAGAGTCCGACTTTGGGTCGGCAAGTGCAGGAAGAGAGGACTCAGGAGGAGAAGGCAAAGGGGCACGCACAGGAGCAGTGGACGGACGCAGAGACATCCGGTGCGTGCCAGGGACAGGAGGAGGACGCTGACGCGAATCGCGGCCACTAGCGCGAGCAGCACGAACAGGCAACGCAGGACGAGACGCAGGCTCACGACGCTCAGCAAGGCCTCCAGTAGGACCAGTGTAGGGAGAAGGAGCAGGCAGTGGGGAGGCCGGCGGTAACTGTGACTGTAACTGGACAGGCGGTGGACACTCTAAGGGAGGAGGAAGACCAAGAACCTGCTGAAGGAGCGGAACGAAGTACGGCCGAGGCCGCACGGCGACTCCAGACATAGCAGGGACAGCACCAGCACCCTCAGTGGCAGCACAAGCGCCAATAGCACCTCAAGCTGCAGTACCTCCAGCAGCACCAGCAGCACCCGCAGGAGGACCGCCGCCAGGACTGACAGCAGTAGCCACAGCGCCAACACCCTCAGCAACTCCAGCTCCAGTCGTACCCGCAGGTACAGCAGCTCCAGCACTCCCCGGACGAGCACCTCCGGGACCGGCGGCACCAGCACCCTCAGCAGCCGAAGAAGCTCCAGCTCCAGCACGACGCCTCCAGCGCCGGGCAAACCACTCGCGCAGCTCCTGTGGAGAGAGTGGCTCCCGCCGAGACGAAGCACCCGGAGAACCTCCAAGCCCAGTACCGCCAGACGCCACACTAGCAGGTCCAGCAGCCGCGTGCTCCGCACCCCCAGGCTCAGCAGCTCCAGACGTGGCAACCCCAGGCTCAGCAGCTCCTGACGTAGCACCCCCAGGCTCAACACCCCCAATCTCAGCACCCCCTGGCTCAGCACCCCCAGTCTCAGCGCCCCCAGGCTCAGCACCCCCAGGCTCAGCACCCACTCGCGCAGCACCCCAAGAGTCAGCGCCCCCAGGCTCAGCACCCGCAGCAGTACCAGAGTCACCAGCAACCTCGACCGGCTCGACTGCGTCTACCTGGGACACACGTGAAGGGGCAGGACTATGAGGGGGGAGGGGGTCTACCGGGGGGGGGACCTGGCACAAGGAAGAGCGGAGGCGGGGGGAGGGAAGGAGTGCGGTAGGGGAAGAGACGGTAGTAGGGGACCGACTCGTCACACGTGACGTCCTGGGAGGACAGAACACGATGAGAGGAGGGGTGGTAGAAATGCCACCATAGCACGTCAGGGGGGAAGCCGAGGAAGACACAAGGAGCAGTACGAGGGGACAGCTTGTCCGCAGACAAGTCGCGGACAAACGCCCGAGATCCCCACACATGGAACGCAGACGCATCGCCTACCTTCCCCCTCCACAGCAAAGCTGGGGAGGTCTCCGGCATGGAGACCGTGGGGTGAAGGTTGATCTGATGCGCCGCGTACCGAACCGCAAACGGCCACAGAAAATGGGGGGCAGCCGCATGCATCATGGACATACGAGCGACGTCCATGACCATGCCAATGCGGCGCTCAGCAATCCCATTTTGCTGTGGAGAGTCCGGAAGCGTAAAGGTCTGGCGGATGCCTCGCGCACGGAAGTAGGCTCGCAGAAGGCCAGAGGAGAACTCTCCGCCTCGGTCAGAATGCAGACGCAGAACAGGAAAGTCCGAGCTCAATCTCCTCCTGAGCAGGAGACGAGCTGCGCGGATCCAGTCAATCAACACCTCAGTGACATCACCCTTGCTGCGCAAGGGGAAGACTGTGGTGTAACGCGAGTAGTCATCAACCACCAGCAGAAAGTAGCGCTCGTGACCCTGTCCACGGACGCGGGCCGGGCCCCACACGTCCATGTGAAGCGTCTGCAGCGGGGCCTCTGTCGAGGGAAACTAAGAGGAGTGAGGGGCAGACCGGAGCCGCCCCTCGACAGAGGGGACGCAGGAAGGACCAGGCCCCGAAGGGAGGGGAGGGAGGGACCGGGGAAGACTAGAGACAAGGACACGGGAAGCCATGCCTCCGAGACAAGGCAGGGAGGGGTGATCAAGACGGTGGTGCTACAGGAGAGTCTCGTGAGACAGGAGGCGACACGAGCAGGGGGCAGACTCAGGACCAGACCTGGACGCTGCAGCAAACACCTGACCCGGCGCAGCTACCTGGCCAGACGCAGGGACAGGAGGAGACTCAGTGGTCATGGTGTAGAGGCTCGACCCTGGTCGATGCGTAAACGTGGCCAAGTGTCGGCCTGTGCGAGAGTCCGAGCAGTGGGTCACCCGCTGACTCGTAGGAGTAAACTGGTGAACCCCCGCATCCTGTAGGTTAGCACCACTCACCAAGTTCGTAGAGAACAAGGGGAGGTAAAGACCAGACAAGGTGCCAGAGGGGGCAGCCAGACACGGGAGGACAGTAGAGAAGTGAGAGAGGATAGGGCCCCCAAAGGGGTCTGCCAGGGAGACTGCAACCGGTCGACCCAGCGGCGTGAGTGTGGTGCGGTCTCAAAAGAAGGAGCGAGAAGCCCCTGAGTCAAGTGTGAAGGTGAGGGAGGCCGAAGTCGACGCGGTACTTGAGAGCGCAGACTCACCAGCACCTAAGGACGCAAACGCACTGGCACCTAGAGCAGCAGCCTCACCAGCACCTAGAGCAGCAATCGCAATGCCCGGGTTGGGCGGGAAACACCGGTAACAGTCACCCTCATCACTAATAGACACAGCATACATGGCAGCAAGGATAGCATCAAAGTCAAGATCATAGATAGCTACACCTGCCCTAGACAGCTCTCCCCAGCGGGGGATCTCAGTAGCCTCCGGGAACTGCTGACGCAAAGGGTCAGTCATGCGGCCAAAGCAGCGCTGGGTGGGGTGGGCACCCCCACACTGCTCACCCGCGCGGTCGCCGGTGCCAAGGACGTAGGTGCACGGACCAAAACCCCCACCACGCTGACGCTACGCGTACCACTCACGGAGCTGCTGAGGAGGGGGGATGTCCCGAGAACGCTGCTGCTGCTGCTGCTGCTGGTGCTGACCACCACCGGAGTCGCTCCGCTGCGAAGCGCCACCCCGACCAGCTCCATCTCCTCCAGCACCGCCTCCTCCACCTCCGCCACCACCGCCGCCTCCGCTCCCACCGCCACCGCCTCCGCCGCCTCCACCTGCACTACTGCCACCGACACCTCCACCCCCGCCACCACTCCCACCGCCACCCCCACTCCCTCCGCCGCCTCCACCGCCACCTCCACCACCCCCGCTAGCTCCACCCGCGCCCTTGTCCCCCTTGCCCTTGCTAGAGCGGCTTCTCCCGCTAGGGGCAAGGGCAAGGGGGACGCCGCACCGACCGACTCAAGACCAACGAGGTCGGCCGCAGCAACAGAGGCGACAGAGGGCAAAAGGGGGGAAGGGGAACACCCCTCAAAGATGGGGGCGCGAGGGTCACCACGAGAGGCTCCTACAGCGACTATGCTCTTCTCCGCTGCTAGGAGGGCCTGCTCTAGGAGGTCAACAGTGAGTGTGGTGGGACAGACTGAGAGGAAATGGTCCCTGACTACACGAAGGGAGTCAGGTAGGCGGGCGACTATGTAATAGAGAGTGATGTACATTGGGGGGGGGTTCTTGGCGCAGAACTCAGCAGGAAGCGCAGCGCGGTAGCGAGTGTCACTAGTGCGGAGGTGCGTAATGAGGTCAGCGACTGTGGGAAAGGCAGCAAGGTTAGGGAAGAGGTACGGTAGCATGAGGCGGCTCAGTGCAGCAGTGGCAGGGGAAGAGTAGCGCGCAACTACAGCGTCGTACAAGGTCTGAGCACTCTTGTACTGACTAAAGTGCGCGCGCTTGGTGGTAGGCAGGTGACGACGCACAGCAAGATGTGCAGCAGCATCGCGCGTGGCCCACTGGGAGCGAACAGTGGCATCAGCATCAGCAGCAGGGGCAGGAGAGGCACCAGAGGTGAGGTCAAAGAGAGAGAGACCGTCTGCCCTATCGCACTATAGGAAAAGCTGCAGGTCATCTACCTAGACCTCAAAGTCAATGGCCCGACCCTCAGCGTCAAAAGCGAGAACACTGGGGGTAGCCATGACAGCAGTAGACTAGCTGCACTAACTGTAGGACAGGGGCTGTGCAATGACCGAAGCACTGCTCTCATCAGACAGGGCGGGTCGGGCAGCTCGGTAGTACAGCAGCTCAGCAACACGGCGGCTCGGGTGACTCGGACTGCTCAGCAGCAAGTGTGGCTCTGCGGCACCAGCGGCTCGGCTCCACAGCGGCTCAGGCGGCTCGGGCGGCTCGGGCGGCTCGGGCGGCTCGGGCGGTTCGGGCGGCTCGGGTGGCTCAGGCGGCTTGGGCGGCTCGGGCTGCTTAGCGGTGCGGGCGGCTCGGGTTGCTTCGCGGTGCGGGCGGCTCGATCGCGTAGGGCGGCAGGGCCGCTGGTAGGGCGGCGGGGCCGCTAGGTAGGTGACGGGGCCGCAGTGAGAGGGGCGGCGGGGCCGCAGCGAAGGGCGGCGGGGCCGCAAGGTAGGCGGCGGGGCCGCAGCAAGAGGTGCGGCAGGGCCGCAGTGAAGGGCGGCGGGGCCGCAGCGAGAGGGGGCGGCGGGGCCGCAACGAAGGGCGGCGGGGTCGCACGGTAGGCGGCGGGGCCGCAGGGAGAGGGGGCGGCGGGGCCGCAACGAAGGGCGGCGGGGTCGCACGGTAGGCGGCGGGGCCGCAGCGAGAGGGGGCGGCGGGGCCGTAGCGAAGGGCGGCGGGGCCGCACGGTAGGCGGCGGGGCCGCAGCGAGAGGGGCGGCGGGGCCGCAGCGAAGGGCGGCGGGGCCGCAGTGAAGGGCGGCGGGGCCGCAGCGAAGGGCGGCGGGGCCACAGTGAAGGGCGGCGGGGCCGCAGCGAAGGGCGGCGGGGCCGCAGCGAAGGGCGGAGGGGCCGTAGTGAAGGGCGGCGGGGCCGCAGTGAATGGCGGCGGGGCCGCTGCGAAGGGCGGCGGGGCCGGGACAAGGCGGCACCGGGGCCGTAGGGCTAGGCGACGGGACCCTAGGGCTAGGCGACGGGGGCCGCTAGGGCGATGGGGCCGCTAGGGCAACGGGGCTGCTAGGGCGATGGGGCCGCTAGGGCGGCTCGACGAGGTGAAAGAGAGGAGCGCAACTCGGGCGGAGCGCGCTCCGAGCAGGAAAAAAAAAAAAATCGATGTGGTGGGCCCTAGGCACAGTTCCCACTAGGGAACCTGCTCGATACCATGAGAAAGTTAGAACGAGAATGAAATGACTAAGTGAAAGTTGGGTACAAATACAACCCTAGAAAGCTGTACCCCATATGTGCTACCGCACTATAGCCTACAACAGCTATGTCATACAAATCTGACACTAGTGTCTTGTATTTTTTGCCCTGAAACATCCAGATAAATTTCTGATGGTGCCCTGATACTTTAGGATGGCCAGGGAATTTTGCCCTGAGAAATCAGGGCATTTTGGAAAGTTTTCAAAAGTTACCCTAAGGGCTCAGGGTGCCCTAAATCCTAGCACAAGCCCTACTGTTACATATAGAAAATATTAACTTATATTTTCCAACACGCCCCCATAACTTGCTGTAGGATATGAGTATGCAGTAAGCGCCCCCTGAAGGGGTACACCACGACTGCGCAGCGGAAATCACAGCAACAAGCAAGTGCAATGGCAACCAGTACAATGGTGGCAGATCCAGCTGAACCCAACCCTCGGCCAAGGCAGAAACAGTAGTAGGTGTAGGGGCAGTAGGTCGCCTGAGGAGCAGGCTCTGTGGCTGCAACGTGCAGCAGGACAGCAACGCCTCGACGGCAGCACTTGCAGGCCCCAGCAGCAGGTAGCAGAAGCAAAGGCAGGTGGCGGCAGGGGCGGCAGCTGGAGGTGCCACGGTAGCAACGGCAGCAGCTGGAGGTGCCACGGTAGCAGCGGGCGGCAGCAGCAGATGCACGGCCGACTTCTGCCGCCCCCTCACTCTCCCCCCCACAATGGCACGCGCGGCAGTGAGAGAGAGAGGTGGAGGGGTGGCTGTTGGCTCGGCAGAATCTCTCTCGCCACCCCCTCACCCTCTCCCCCTCCCCCCGCAACGATAGGCGCTGGAGGGAGAGAGAGGAGAGAGGAGGGCGGCGGTTGGTTCCTTCTGGTGTACTCCCGCCACCACTTCATCTCCCACCCCCCTCCCACGTGAGAAGTCGCGGAAGGGAGGGGGGCGACACACGCTGTTGCTGCTACTCGCACTCTGGCGTGGGGCGGGCGCTGCTGCTGGTCGCGCTGGCGTGTGCTGGTGGGCTGCGCAATGGCGCACGCGCTAGCGCTGGCGCTCGTGCTGGCGCTCGCGTTGGTGTAGTGCGCTGGCGTAATGGCGGTCGCTGGAACGACGGGCCGCCGGCAAACGCGCGGGCGAGCTCGAAGGCAGGCTGGTGGGCGCTTCGGATCCATAGCAGAGGCGCACCGAACGGGGCTGTAATTAGCGCGACCAGCGACGCGTGACGCAGCCATACTGAGGCCGTAGCTAGCGCCATCGCGCAGCTCGCCGTCACGGGCAGCAGCGTGACAGGCGGTGCGACGTAGGGCGTGACGCGGGGTTGTATGAGTGAAAATAAAATAGGCCTAGGCGAACCAGGCTCTGATACCATGTCAAAATAGTAGGTGGAGATTAGGAACCATGGTGAAGGGTTTTGGGAAGCACAAGCTAGGAACGAGAGAGTTTGCCGAAAAGAGGGTGTTCACTATAGAGCAAGCAATACAAATAGGCAAGAAGAAACAAGAAAGGTGCACCACCAAGTAGGAAAACGTTATAACTATAGTAATTAATCCTATAGGTTGTTACATATAGAAAATATAAACTTATATTTCCCGACATCAAGTGTCGCGACTTTTCACCATTTGGACCGAACGGTTACACACAAAGAATGGCAACAGGCGTAATTGTCTGTACGGTTGCATGCATAAGCTTTGTAACAACAATAGCAAGAGTCGGGGTGATTGTAGAAATGCCTATAAAATAATTATAATAATGGAATGTACCCCTTAGAGTACATGGCTAGCTAGATCTATTTATTGTACAAAATTATACGAAAAGGTATAATTCGCCATGTACTCTAAGGGGTACATTCTCTTCCCTTGCTACAGCGAGATTCAACTTTGCGGCCAACAACCCATTTCAAACACATTCCCGCCATTTCCACTTCACATGTTTCTGCATGCATCAGTTCTTGCCAGACAACTGTTTCCGGCGCCTAGAGTCGCCTGCCCGACTCCTCGCATTCGTACTCGGTAGTGTTAGCTTCTGTTGCGTACACGAAGGTATTCTCATACAATATGTCAAATGTTATTATCTATTATAGGCTGTAGTGAGGTGCTCCTTAGTGAGTAAAACTCAGTTCGGGTTTCATATTTGTACTGCCTTGCTTTCCTAGTCTCACCATTCCGTTGCATTCTATTTCTGAGATGGTATCAGAGCGTGGCACGCGCCTCACGGAAAGTTGTCGTGGCACGCACCTCAGACTACTCTTGCTAACTGTGGCGCGCGCGTCGCTAGGGAGGGGTCGTGCGCGGGCTATTGTATGGGGTGCGTGCAGGCTGGGTAAGGTGCGCGCGCGGGCTGTGGTGTGGGGGGGGGGGGGGGGGGGGGGCGCACGGGCAGGGTACGTGGCGCCCGCGAACTATGGTAAGGGGTGCGCGCTTGCCGTAGCAGGGGTGTGCGCGGCTAGCTGGGCGTGGGGCCAGAGCGAAGGCTAAGGGCAGGGCGCATGGGCGACGTACGAGGGGCAGGGCGCACGGGCGACGCGCGGGCTAGGGGCAGTGTGCACGGGCGACGCGACGGGCTGGGGCAGGGCGCACGGGCTACGCGACGGGCTAGGGCAGGGCGCACGTGCTACGCGACGGGCTGGGGCAGGGCGCACGGGCTATGCGACGGGCTGGAGCAGGGTGCATGGGCGACGCGACGGGCTGGGGCAGGGGCCACGGGTGACGCGACGGGCTGGGGCGGAGGCGCGATATGGTCCGACGTTTCCTCCTTCGGACTCGGCTCCAGTTGTTTTCTCTTCTCCTTAGTCACAGTCATCTCCTTCTGTTGTCCCGCACGACTGGACCAGTCGTTGTCCTCTGCGTGCTCGGCCCTCGTCTCTTCTTGCCGACCTCCGCACTGCCTTGTTTCGTTCTAGTCCACGTCGTTCTACGCCCGTGTCTGTTCTCCCCTCACCTCCTGAGTCGTCTCTCACCGTTTCCTCTCACCTTATTACTGACTACTACCGTGCTTCTCGTCCTGTTGTCTCGCGTGTTCTCGCCTCTCTTGTCACCGACCCTCGTGCCTCTCCGTCGTCCGTCTCAACTCTTACTGCCGCTGTCTCTGACTTTGCTTCCACCCGCCACCTTGACTACGCCACGCTTGTGGTGGCTGCTCCACCTCCCCATCCTCTGTCCGTTGGGGGCGAGTCTGGCCTTGGCTGTGACGTCCTAGAGGACAGGCAGTTTGAGCTGGATTTCTTAGTAGCCGCTTCCCCCTCTCTCTGCGCCATGCTGCTTTCCCTTGAGGGAGACCCTGACGCCCTTGACATACCGACACCTCGCATGTATCGTGACGCAGTGTCAGGGGAGTGGGCTTCTAAGTGGAAAGCGGCTATGGATGCAGAGTTAGCATCTTGGAGATCCACAGGCACTTACGTCAACGCAGTTCCCCCTCCTAGGGCGAACGTTGTCGATGGCATGTGGCTCTTCAAGGTGAAGCGGTCGCCTTCACCGCCTGTGTTCAAGGTGCGCTACGTGGCTAGGGGTTTCAGCCAATGTGAGGGAGTTGACTTCTTCCAGACCTTTGCCCCGACTTCGAAGGTGACTACTCTTTGGGTATTACTGCACATAGTAGCACAGCGAGACTACGAGCTGCACTCCCTCGACTTCTCCACTACGTTTCTCCAGGGCCGCCTACACGAGGAAATCTGGCTGCGTCGTCCTGCTGGCTTTACTAAAGCCTTCTCACCTGGGACCCAGTGGAGTCTGAGGCGACCAGTCTACGGTCTTCGCCAGTCGCCCCGTGAGTGGCACGACACTCTTTGCTGCACGCTTCGTGACCTTGGGTTTCGTCCTTCCCCT